TTTTGTAATACATTCTTTAGAGAAAAAACTGTAAAAATGCAAGAAATATTAATTTATATGTCAGTGTTGGCTCCAAGATTTTTACACAAAATTATAAGATTCAAAAGCTTCTTTTCCACTTAGCTTACAAAACCTTATACAAAAAATTAAATAACTACAAAATATTTATTTAATTAAAACTAGTTATAATTTTTTGCTTTATTTCATTCCATTCCTTTTATATTTAGCTGGCCAGAGTTTTGAACAGTTTAACTTTGAAAAAAAAACCTAAATTTTTTTTAAATCTTCGAACAAAAAAAAAAATAAAAATTAAAAATTATAAAAATAAAAAAAATTTAGTATTGTTTTTTGATTTAATTTTTATTTTTTTAATTATAAACGAATAATTTAAAACAAACCAAAAATTAAAAGAACAATTTTTAAAGCATTTGTTGATAGCTCAGTGGTGTCTAAAAGATGCAAATAAAATATCAGTATACTTTGAGCAATTGCGTTTTAAATTAATTAAAAAAATGAGTTATGCAGCTTTTGATCTTAAATTTTATCTTTTAAAAATTTTTTATCTAAGTTTTAGAAATTTTATATGTGTTAACTATACACATTTTTATTGTAAATAAATTTTAGTAAATTCCGACTTTTTAAATTTTTAAAACTTAGAAACTTTTGACACCTCTTAAATTTATAATTAAAAAAAAAATCTATATTAAAATGGAGAAAAAAGTTTGCTAAGCGAATTTGTACATCAAATAATTTGCAAACTTTTCAATGAAAAATTATATTTTTTTTTTTGGTAAAAAGAATGTTTGTTTTTCTAACACAAAAGCAGCTTCCAAAAAAGTTAAGCACCAAAGCTCGAATTACGGGCTTCCCTCCGATAATGTTTCACGAATCGAGCCCTAACCGCCAAAATGGTGTAAGCGATTTTTTTCAATTCCTTTTTTTTTTGATGCAGAAATGTTCCTCGAGCATCCAGATGCATTTCTGCATCAAAAATTAAATTTTGAAAAAATATCGCTGACATCTTTTTGGCGCTTAGGGCTCGACATCATTGAAGCCGTTGCTAATTTTTTCCCACATAAACCCATACAAAAGAGCCAGTTGGGGTCTACGTGACAATTGTCAAATACATCAAAGTAAACTTAGCAAATTTTTTGGGAATTTTTATATTTCAAATATTCCAAAAAAACCGGTCATTAACAAAGATAACATCAATTTACGCAAAGCTGCAACTCAGCTGCCTATCAGCATTGATCACTTTATCAAACAAAAGCCACCACTATTCAAGCTTTTGGTCACCTGTCGGCGACGTGAAGGGAAGCGCTGGCAAACTTTTCAGTGACAACATAAATAACAGTAAAGTTATTTAACTAAATATTCAAATAAAGCGTCGAAGAGTGAAAGTGGGTGTGTGCCAACGAACGGCAGCTGGACAGAGCTGATGAAGAAGAGCAAAAAAAAATCCGTTAATAAAAAATGGGCAAGAAAACCTGCAAGTAAGCTCTGCACAATTGATCACTTGTCAGCAAGGCAATGAAATCGCTTTAAAAAATTGCTTGGCGCCACTGATGTTCATACCTTTTCCTCTCCACCTTTTTCCAAAGTGGCCCATCACTTGCGTGACTTAAAAACTTGCCACTCTTTCATCAGCTTTTTCCACACTTGACCGTGTGCCTAAAATTTGCTGTTATGCGAAGGTCATTGCTACAAAAAAAAAATTTATTTGTAATCAAAACATCGCTAACAGAAAAATGACATAAATTATATTTAGTCCATTATGGCCAAAATTTTGTCGCATTTGTCTTAATTTTTTATAATAATCTTACTAAAATCAACTGGCAATATACTTCCTGCTTGACACGAGCTTCGATTTTCAAGACAAAAATTTATTTATAAATAATATTTAATGTAGCACAAATCCCATTGTTAGCCCAATAATGCGCACTGATATCTCAATAGTGGACTTAAGCTTATTATCTGCAGCCTATCCCAAACTCATTCATAAACAAATTTATACAAATTTGACACTTAAAGCTGTCAAAATACATCCACTTAAACGTTCACGCGCTACGGGCACAACTTGATAACTCAATTTGGATGCTGGTTATTTAAGATTACGAACGAAAGTTCAAAATATAGGCAAGAAAAAAAAACAACAACAATGTACAACAAAAGCAATAACGACAACACCAGCTGAATATGTTTTTTTGCTTTTGTTTTCTTAAATTTCAAAGCATTTCGCTATTCAAAATTATGTCGCGCGCTAAGAGTTGGCCTCAAAGTCAATACGAAGCGATCTGTGGCGTGCGCGCATGCGCGTAGTACAGAGAGAAAAAATTAAGGTATTAATTTTTCAACGCAAGCTACGAGCAATTTTTACACACATAAGTATGCGTGTAAAAAAAAAAATAACAGAAACAACAATAAACAACGAGCACAGCATTTTTCCGCTAAGACTTTGTTTTTCTTTTTGTTATGTATTTTGCTAACATCTTTTGCTATCCAAAACCAGTTATTAGCCGGTAAATTTTTATTTTTTATTGTTCGCCGCTGCTTGCTAATAAAACAAAGAGCTCGAAAAATGATCACTAATAAATGCGTTTACGCTTGCGCTGTTGACTTGTCAACACTTCCAAAATCATCGAAAAAGAAAAAAAAAAATGAAACCAAAGCGCGCCGCAGCAGCAGCACTACTTTCGTTTTCAACAACTTCCAAGTGGCAAACTCAGCAGCAGCAGCAGCGGCGGCGATTTTGTAACCGGCAACGCCATACATTGCAGACTCATATGAGCATGCATAGCAACAACAACGACTAAACAAAGCGCCTCACTGTTAAGCAGCGACCATTATGCGCGTAGAGTTCAGTGGAGCATTGGGCCAACAGCCGCAACAGCCGCAGCAGCCAGCCATGGCAATGCGGATGGTCAACTGGTTGGTTGGTTGGTTGGCCAGTCTACCTACAGGTGTGATGAAATGCCTGTTCGTTGTTGTTGTTGTTGTTGTTGTTATTGTGATACACTGAGCATCTTCATAAGCATATATTTATGTATTTGTTTAAATTGTGTCATACGAAAATAATATGTTGACTGAGGATGATGAATAATTGTCGGGAAGTATGTATGTATGTATGTCGATGGCGCAGTTGCGGCTGGCCCGTTTACTTGGACAAAACAAAAGCAAAAAAAAAATAAATAAATAAAAGTAAACAAAAATCATATTGCATAAGTGTCAAGTGATCTGCAGGCAGGCATTTAACGCGGAAAATATTCCACAACTCACTTGCGTGCGAAGACTTTGTTTGACATTAAATGGCGATTGTTAGCCAAAGAAAAAAAATTAAATTTCAGTGGCTTATGGCGTTCTCAATCTGATTTTTTTTTCCTCCCCAACATTTCAGCCTTTGTGACACTCATATCCACAACTTTTTCCTTTATAGTCGTTTAAGCTGCGATTGATGCGCCAATTTCCCGCTCATATCCGCTTTAGCACTTTTCAAGTGTCTACTGTTCTCCAACATACATATAATTCACGCACACATAAATAAAAGTCCTCAAACTGATTTCGTGAGTGCGTGCTTGCAGCATGTCACCCGCAACCTTAAGTACCCAACACACACACCCCCACACACACACACACATGCAGTTAAACACTCAATCAAACGCCAACGTTCAACAATTTAAGTTGAAAAGGCGCTTAAAAGCTTTTTAGCCAATGGCAACACATTACTCCGGTTGTAGTGGTTGCGGTGATGGTGGTGGCTGGCCACTAATGCTATTAGGGCACGTAAGACTGAGAAATGAAAATGTAATGAAAATGAGAAAAGTAAAGAGAGAAAATATCTATATTGAAGCTAGAGTGGCAGGGGCAAATTACAGACTTGTATTAATTCTTTAATCCGATTTTTAAATAATTAATTTCTAATCTCTAATCTTCCCCTCTTTTCCTCTCTCGTTTACAGAATGGCTATCCATCGCGCCGCCGCTCGTTGGTGGACGATGCACGCTTTGAAAGCCTGGTTGTTAAGCAAAATAAACAAACTGTGCTGGAGGAAGCGCGCCAAAAGACTAACGGTAAGTGAGCGTGTAATTCAAGAAATCAGCGTAAAATAGAGAAAAACGAGATAAAAATAAAAACAAAAACTAGAATTATAGCTAAATATATAAGCATGGGTAGCGCGTTCTCAAATAACTAATTAAAAATGTAGAATCAATATTTTCAAAATTTACAGGCATATGCTAAACTTAGTAAAAGAATTTAATAAAAAAATTTTGGAATTTTTGTCTGAAAAACTGTTTCCGATATTTCTTTTTCGATTCTCCTCTGTTCTTATGTGCTAGTTTACTTACTCTTGGAATTGAAATTGCAAGCATTTTGCTTGCGCAGTCTGGCTACAGCTTTATGCCACATTTATCAAGGTTAGAGTTTTGATCTCTGGTTCTCAATTTTTTTTATAACGAAAGGCAAGAAAAAGAATGATGACCCTATTTAGTTGTTTCCTCTCTGCAACTACGTTAAATAGACATGGAGATGAGCATAGGGTAAAATGCTAAAAAAAGTTATAAGAAAATTATTGAAATATTAAAAAAAAAATATGTGTGTAAAAAAAACAGTTTTCCTTTGCTTTGGCTTAAAGCTGCAAAATAAATATAAAAAATTCCAAGAAAAAAAAAATTATATTCAACATTTATGAGCGTAGAAAATGGTATTCACAAAAAACATAATCAAAAAGAATTAGTAAAATTCCGACAACTCTTTGGACTCGGTGATGAATTAATTTTGTGAAATTTCATAAAAAAATTTTGTTTATAATTTTTATTTATATTTAAAATTTTTTTTCAATTTGAAAACAGTTTATCACTTTATACGCGAGTTCGATGATAAATTTAGTTTGTGAATTCTAGTAAAAATTTTAATAGAATTTTTTTTCTGATTTATTTTTTCTAAAACTTCCTATTCATGCTTAATTTGATTTTAGGTATATTTTGTGTTTAACTTTTTGTTTATTATTTATTTATAATTTTTGTAAACTTTTTATTTATGTTTATTTTTATTTTTATTTTATTATTTTTTTATTTCGGTCACACAGACGAGGCCACTTTGGAGGAATGCATCCAGCAAGCAAAGGGTGCTCCAATTGAGCAAGAAATCGTATTGCAAGCCGATCAGTCAATTGAGAATGTGGAAATGCCAGCTGAAGTACAAGAAATCCTTGAAGGTATATTGAATGAAAAATAGGGCTTTTTATTTTGGATTTTGATTTCGACTTAAAATTTTTAAATTTGTTTTTATTTAAACAACTTGGTTTTATATTCATTCAAAGGTTTTTTTAGTATTAAAATATTTTATGTTTTTAAATTTTTAATTTAATATTTTAATTAAATATTTTACTTACCATTATTTAATATCTTTTACTATTTTGTATTAATTTTATTTCNATTTTTAAATATTTTACTTACCATTATTTAATATCTTTTACTATTTTGTATTAATTTTATTTCGTTTTATTTATTTTATTTTCATTTTTCCATTGAAATGATTCAGAATCCCATAACGAAACCGTCAATGCCTCATTGGGTGCAGCTGCACAGGGTGAAGGCAGCAACAATGACAGCAATAACGCAAATGGTAAGCAAGCAACAGTTGGCGACGACACACATACAAACATAAATCCCAGGCAGGCTTAGGGTTAATAGCAGAATCAAAAAAAAAAATAAAAAAACCTACCATCAAATGCATTATGATTATGATGAAGCATTTGCCATTTAATACGCTTACTTCCTACGCCCACACATACTCCACATATAAGCCATAGCAGCAAGCAAGCCAGCAAGGACGAACGCTAGCATATGTAAGGATGTGCGTCGAGTGCGGCACGTACGCGCAACATTTCAAATGTGAAAATCGCACATTTCCTTTTAACATTTCTCGTAGCATTTCCATTTGCCATTGCATACACTTATGCCGATGCTATTTTTATAGCGCTGATTTTATTATGTCACACTCAATGAAAAAGGTGCTTGGCTGGAGGGTGGGTGTTAGCGGTGATAAAAGAGAAATCTATCGCGCTTGACTGCGCGCTAACAATGCAGAGCAAAAGAAAAGAAAAAATAGGAGCAGCAAAATTGTAGTTAAAGCCCCTTTGCATTTTCGCGCCACACATTCATCCGTTTTCAAGCAGCCAAGCGACTGAGTTGTGTATTTTTAGCCCACACATTTGTCAACTAGTTCTGTCATTCTGCTTCTTATTCGTTCTTAATGCGACTATGTCATAAGCGCAATTGACTTTTGCATTAAACCACTTGTTAAGCGTGCTGAGCATGCAAAGCGGATTTAAGTGGCTTATATTTAACATCACTAGTTATGGAAATCAACGTTAGACACTATCGCGCGCAATTACTTTGTTAACACACAATATCCTATGCTCTCATTCTCTCCTTCTCTCGTTTTCTCTCCCCCACCACGTACAGATGCCGGTCTCACCGAGGAAGAAGTTTTACTCGCCAACGCCGCCGCTGAGTCTACCGAAGCGGAGAATGCCATGCAGAGCGCAGCGCTCATTGTACGCCTCAAGGAGGGCATCTCCTCGCTCGGTCGCATACTCAAGGCGATCGAAACCTTCAAGGGTGCCGTACAACATGTCGAGTCGCGCGTCTCACGCGAGCAAGGCGTCGATCATGATGTACTCATTAAGGTCGACATGACACGCGGCAACTTGTTGCAACTCGTACGCTCACTGCGTCAATCGGGCTCGTTCAATAGCATCAGTCTCTTGGCTGAACACAATATCAGCGTGAAGGCACCATGGTTCCCCAAGCATGCTTCCGAATTGGATAACTGCAATCACTTGATGACCAAATACGAACCCGATTTGGATATGAACCATCCCGGTTTTGCGGATAAAGTCTATCGCCAACGCCGCAAGGAAATTGCGGAAATTGCTTTCGCTTACAAATACGGCGATCCAATTCCATACATCGAATACACCGATGTTGAGGTGAAGACTTGGCGTTCGGTGCTCTTGACTGTCATCGATTTGGCGAAGAAGCATGCTTGCCAAGAATATCGCGCCGCTTTCCAGATGTTGCGCGACGAGGAAATCTTCGTCGAACACCGGCTGCCACAATTGCAAGAGATGTCGGACTTTTTGCGTCGCAACACCGGCTTTACACTACGCCCCGCTGCTGGTCTGTTGACCGCACGCGATTTTCTCGCCTCGCTGGCATTCCGCATCTTCCAGAGCACACAATATGTGCGTCACGTCAACTCACCATTCCACACACCCGAACCGTAAGTGTCTGCCGTAAGCGTAGTAGAATTAAGAAATTTTAGGTAGGTACAGTAGAAATATATATGCATAAGTATGTATGTATGTAGGTAGGAATTGAAGTGGAGTAATTTTGTCGCAGGCATTGTACTTTGTGCTCTGCTTCCTGCTGCCAGTTGGGCACATTGTTGCGCTGCGACAAATTAACTTAAGCATCGTCAAGTCAGTAGTCAAAGTACAAAGCAAAATGCACTAATTTCATTTGACAGGAAATATGCTTTCATGTGGCAACAACCACATCGACTGTGGCCTGTCGTTCGAGTGGCAGTAGCTGTATAACAATGGAAAGTATCTAAGAGCTCGTCACTTGACGGAAACCTGTAATTGTGTGGGGGAAACTTTTGCAGGCTGCTTGGGAGATGGGTCGTTGAGTTGGGTCGTTTGTGAAACATAAGCTGTAGCCACCGAGCGGATAGTTGACAGGATAGCTGGGCGAGTTGTGTTGCTGTGTGAAAATGACATTTTTGTTGGCAATTGTCGACACTTTAGCACTTTGGCACACTTTAGTAGAGCAGTTCCATTACTGCAGGGTAATTAGTTTAGAAATTTAACTAAGTTTAAGGAGGCAGCTTGGGGCGCTAGTGGCCAGCAGCGTGACTTGTTGCCTGCTTAGGGTGATGGGGTTGAGTGAGAAAGCTATTTTCGATGACCATATTGAATTATGAGTGATGTTACATTATTCGTACTTTTAATAATAGGAAGATGGAAGGCAAATTTTAAACATTTTTTAATGAGAAATGAAGGAAGCTGGACTTAGTTTCACTTGTGGAGTGGTTTGGGTAGTGGGCTGGTGTCACTTAAGTATGGCCTATACTGTTCAGGGTGTTGCAATTACGATGCTCTAGCTAACTTTAGTAGCACTCATTAGTATTTATTGATTTTATATTTCTTTTCTCGTACTTAACCTCACTTTTTACTAATATATGTATCTTTCCATTTTTCTCTCTCCTTCTTTTAATTACAGCGATTGCATTCATGAACTGCTCGGTCATATGCCACTCTTAGCCGATCCTAGCTTCGCACAATTCTCACAAGAGATTGGCTTAGCCTCTTTGGGTGCCTCCGATGAAGAAATCGAAAAACTATCCACTGTAAGTACAAATAAAAACAAATAAATGAAATCATTGAAAAATCATGCTCATGTACCGCGCTTGTTAGCACTATCGCTAATAGCCTTGGCGCCGCATATTTGTTTGCAACGAAAACAAAAAAAAACAAAAACAAATAATCGAGAATGCACAAATTTACTTATTAAAACAAATTGAATTTTAAAAGTCAAGTGGCACAGTCAGCAACGGCCACCAGCTAAGCAAATCTGGCAACAGCGCCAAGCATGCAGAAATACAACACCACATTAAAAAATATCGATTTGGCATTTAATTTGTCTAAGCGCTCGCTTTAATTGCCAATTTAAACATTTTAGTGCATTTTTAGCAGCTACACTAGTTGTAAGCGCGCGCGCCCACTTAGTCAAAGCCACCCTAGCTAATCGCAATAGTTGTGCTAATGCGCTGATACACGAGCGCACCAGCTGGCAATGAGAGCGCGCGCGCCGCTAGCG